AGATACCCTGCCTGTCCTGTTAGGCACCATATCTAGCTGGGCACTGGAGCACTCCAGGCTATTAGTCTTGGAAGACTTTAGTGTCCATGTTGATGATGGGGTGTCTATCCAGGCCAAGGACCTAGTGTCATCCATGAAGGCTCTGGGACTCTCCCAGTTTATTTCAACTCACACATCAGGCAGGCCACATGCTGGATTTAATTTTTGGGATGGGGATAAATGTGGATCTGGTGGCTGCAGATACAGTCCCATAGTCAGACCACTTTGCCCTGAAGGTCCAGCTGGGCATGTCAAATCCTCAAATGGCGAGCGTATTTTGGCTTGTCCACGAAGCCAAATGGACCCTATGCAGCTTCAGGACACTCTGTGGGATCCAATGCCCCCTGGTGGCTCATTAGGTGTCCTGGTGGAGGACTGGTGCTCCTGGCTTTCCAAAGCCATTGATGAGATTGCCCCCTGGCGCCTTCTCCGCGCTTATACCAAAGCAGCCCCATGATATACCTCAGAGCTGCAGATGATGAAATGATAGCTGAAACGGCTAGAGCGAGTGTGGCGGTGTACTTGTGATGGAGTGACAAGAACATCTTATAGAACATGTCTGAAGACCTATGAGATGGCAGTGAAGTCTGCTAAGAGACAATTCTGTGTGCCCTCCATTGTGCTGTGAAGTCATGCCTGGCATAATTATTGGGAATTAGTCAATCATTAACTTCTCTGCCTCAGGACAATCAGAATGATAGGGAACTGGATATTGGCTGTGAGGCATTTGTGACTTATTTCGTGGATAAAGTCTTATCAGTCTGCCAGGACCTTCCGGCCATAGTTGATACAGTAAGGGAACTGGAAGCTCCTTGTCTGTTTTCAGGTCCAATTTTGGACCATTTCAGCCAACTCTCTCAGGAGGATGTCGACAGGGTCCTGGCAGCTGTGGGGCCAGCCACTTGCCTCTTCAACCCGTGCCCTTCCTGGCTGGTGAAAGCCTGGAAGGATGGCATTTGGGTCCCCCTGGGAGAAATTATCAACTGGTCCCTTACTTCTGGGACATTCCCAGTGGCACTGAAGGAGGCAGTGGTTCGTCCGCTCTTGAAGAGACCAACATTGGACCCTGCAGTCCTAGACAACTACATCCCAGTTTCAAATCTCTCATTTCTGGAAAAGGTAGTTGAGAGGGCAGTGGCTGAACAGCTCCAGGTTTTCCTGGATTATGCATCCATGCTTGACCCTTTCCAGTCCGGTTTCTGCCCTGGCCACAGGATGGAGACGGCACTAGTCGCCCTCATGAATGACCTCCAGAGACACCTGGATCAGGGCCTGTCAATGCTGCTGTTACTTTTAGATCTGACAGCAGTGTTCGACATGGTCAACTATGATCTTATGATCCACCGCCTTGCCAACATAGGAGTTCAGGGGATGGCCCTACAATGGTGTTCCTCCTTTCTCCATGGTTGGGGACAGAGGGTGGCACTTGACAGGAAGATTTCTTAGTAATACCCACTTGACTATGGAGTACCACAGGGGGTGATCTTCCTGCCAATGTTGTTTGTGTGGATGACACCCAACTCTGTCTGTTGCTGGACGGCTGCCCAGATTGCATCCTGGAAAATCTGGCCAGGTCCCTGGAGGCCATGGCTGAATGGTTGCAGCAGAGCTGGCTGAAACTTAATCCAGCAAAGATGGAGGTCCTGTACCTAAGCCGGAGGGGGGGGGGTGAGTCGGGAATCAGGCTCCCTGCCTTGAATGGTGCTCCACTTGTGCCAATCCAGAGGGGGAAGAGCCTGGGGGTGATCCTGGATACCTTGCTTACTATGGAGGCCCAGGTCACCACAGTTGCCAGGTCTGCATTTTATCATCTTCGGCAGATCAGGCAGCTGGCTCCCTATCTCTCCCCTCAGGACTTGGCTACAGTGACCCATGCAATTGTGATTTCCAGGCTTGATTACTGTCAGACTCTCAAGCACACTGTCTTTGGCAGTGAAAGGCTTTATTGAGTTAAAACAAATTCCAGGCATTAATTCCAGGCATTAATAGTACTGTGTCAGTTCTAAAGTTTTTTGGTGGGTACATGGATAGATACAGAAAGTTCAAACTGTAACCCCTCCTAAGACCCACTCATACATCACGTCATACAGCCAGGCTCCAGCGTCTCTATCCCCCCTCCCTTCCCATGGGAATATACAATCCCATTATCTGCTACACAACCTGGCACTAGGAGTTTCAAGGACATCTCCCTGTGAACCAGGGAGAGGCACGTCTTCAAGAAAAAGTTACGCCGTCTAAGATACAGCATCCTTCTTCAGAAGACTGAAATGAAATTATCTTTCTGCAGAAGACTGAAAAGGGGCTCTACTTTGAATGGCCCAACATATCTCCATCCCATTTTTTTCTGGGTTGCAAACCCCTGAGGTTCTTGGTGGAGATATACATGGAATCCCCAGGTTTTAGATCCCACTTGGTCCCCCGCCCTTTGTCAGCATAACATTTGTAATCCTCTTTGGTTTTATCTACAGTCCTTTGAAAATGAGGCCACCCCTGAGTCACTTTGGCCCACCAGGTCCTAGCATCCCCTGGACCTGGATTGTCAGTGTTCAAAGTGGGCAGTGGCTCCCCTTCATAGCCATGCACTGCTTTGAACAGGGAGACCCCAATGGAGCTATGCACTGAGTTGTTGTAACTGTACTCTACATACTGCAGTAAATCATCCCAGTCATCTTGTTGATGATTTATGAAGCACCTAAAAATTGTTCCAACACTTGGTTGATTCTCTCAGTTTGCCCATCAGTTTTGGGGTGGTGGGCACTGTTTAAGCCCTGCTCCACCCCTAGTAGTTTCAAGTTCCACCAGAACCCAGCCACGAACTGGGTACCTCGGTCTGAGATCACTTTGCGGGGTAAGGCATGGAGTCTGATGACGTGCTGCGTGAACATCTGGGCCAGTCTCTTGGCTGTGGGCATCTGCTTACACAGTATGAAGTGTGCTTGTTTTGAGAATAAGTCCACCCCCCCCAAATGGTAGTCTTCCCCTGATTTGGGGGTAAATCCATGATAAAGTCCATCAAAATGACCGACCAGGGTCTGTCTGAGGTCTCTAGTGGCTGGAGTAGTTCTGGAGGCTTCCTGGGATGATGTTTACTCATCAGGCACATCTGGCATGAGGCCACATACTTAGAGATATTCCTCTGCATTTGGGGCCACCAAAATTATCTTTGAATCAAGTTCAGGGTTTTTAAGTACCCAAAATGCCAAGTCATTTTATTGTCATGACCCATAGTCATTACTCCCCCCCCCCTCAGGGATTCTGGAACAAACAGTTTCCCATTCTGGTACCAACATCCATTTTCATTTTGGGTGAGGGACCCCTCCTTCTCAATGTCTGCTTTGTCCCTGCCCAACAGGGCAGACCTGAATTTCTCAGCCCAAGCATCCACCTCTGGCATTGGTGCAGCTTTCGCCTGGCTGCGCATCACCACTGCCCCCCCAGCTGGGCAGGCATGAACATTGTATTCACCACCTCCTCCCTTTGGCTAGCATGCTGCAGGAAGTGAGACAGCGCATCAGCCAGGAAGTTGGATTTCCATGGGTGGTGGTTGAGTGTGAAATGAAACTTAGAAAAGAACTTCGCCCACTGTAACTGTTTTGTGCTTAAGCATTGGGGGGGCTTTGAGGGCTTCCAAGTTTTTATGATTGGTCCAAACCTCAAAGGGGACCCTCACCCCCTCCAACCAATGTCTCCAAGTTGTAAGGGCTAGCTTTATAGCCACAGCTTCCTTGTCCCACACTGCCCAGTTCCTTTCAGCACTGGAAAACCTTTTTGACACATAAGCCAATGGGTGCAACTTCCCATCTCTTCTGGAGGATTGCCCCCTCCCATGGCCACATCCGATGCACCCACTTATACCACAAATTGTTTAGTCTCCTCAGGGAGGTGCAGTTTGGGTTCTGAGGTGAACAGAGTCTTTAAGTGTTCAAATGCCTTTTGGCATTCGGGGGACCAGTGCAAGTGGCTGCTCCCCTTCTGGTACTCCAGTCCCTTTGCCTTTGTCTTTAATAGGTCCATTAGGGGGAGGGTGACCTGGGCAAAATTGGAGATGAAGGGCCGTCAGAAATTTGCAAACCATAAGAATGACTGGAGCTACCGTCTCGTCCTGGAGGGCTCCCTTTTTCAGCCCTGGCCTGGTGGAACAAGCTTTCACTTGAGTGCAGGGCCCTGTGGGACTTATTATCATTCCGCAGGGCCTGTAAGATGGAGCTGTTGAGGCAGAGGGTGTCCAATGAAGTCAACCTCCTACACTGAAGTCGGTCATCAATATTCGGCCTAGATCAAGAAGATCTCTGGACCCAACCAGCTGAAACTATGTTTGTGTTTATACACAGCTGTTTTAACTAGTATTACCTAGTTTTCAACATTATATTAATGTATGTTTTTATCTGTTTATGATATGATCCACTCTGAACCCACTTGCAGGGAGGGAGGAATACAAATCCAAATAAACAAATAAATAAAATTAAAGGCCAAAACAGCTGTGGAAAAGATCCTGCCCCTTCCCCCACCTTTTACTAACAGAAACCAAGCCTTTGAAAGGTGGCAGTACTGTGTGGTTGTCTAGCAATGGTCACAAAAGTCATTATTTTATTAATGCTAGAGGCACTGCTTCTATTACTTGGGGAGGGTGAATTAACACCCTTGTCTGGGGTGTTTTTCAGGTTTGTAGAAAGATCTATCTTGTCTTTTTATGGCCCCAGTTTCCAGCTTTAAGTATCTACAGGTTTAGCCATGTTGAGAATTAGATACATAGATGCAAAGGTAAAAAAAAGTTTTCGACCATCAAGAAATAAAGTATTGAAAATAAGTTCTTATGCTTCATGTAATATCTGGGAACCCAAGGATCAGGAATCTAGCCTGCAGATAGAAATTATTATTTTGAAGAAAAGCAAGCAACCGTACATATTTGTCTTCAGTTTACTGATTTCTGTTTCTTTCTGTTTGATTTTCCTTTCCCCCAGGCTTCAATTCTGGATTTGCACTCTGGAGCTCTTTCTTTGGGAAAGCATTTTGTTGACATGTACAGGTAATGTGGTGGTGTTGCCTCTTTGTCTCTGTGTCCTTGGGTACTACTAATTTTGATGCTTTTAGCTTCTTAGCATGTGTTGGGTATTTGTAAAACAGAGGTCAAGGTCTTTAGGAAATAGGTGTATTTGTCTGCCTTTGCCAAAAGTTATGTGGTATCAGTCACATAAAATTGTTTCAGTGAATTGAACCTTCAGGAGGACAGTAAAAGTCTTGCTGCCTACCCAGGTGCTAGATGTAAGAGCCCCCCCCCCCCCCCGAATGACTAAATACCAGTACCATGGCATCCTGCCTTTATGGCTGCACTAATCTTTATAATTGTCATTTTGGAATTATTGATTTTTTAAAATCATTGCATATTATGAGATGTAATCTGGGTAAATTTATGCTGTTTGCGAAGAGACTTTTAAGTACTGACTGATGCAGAAATTTAACTTGCATTTTCCAGAGAGTATGGCTTAGTTTTTTACTTGTCTGTCTTTAGATATTTTGGAGATAAAGTCCACAATATATTTTCAGAAGAAGATTTTCATTTGTACAGGTAAGAAAACCCTGTAATTGTGACTTCTTTCTTTCCTCACCCCTCTAATACAGCTTTAGTCTTGTTGATAAAGTGCCTGTTAACATTTTAGAACTGTATCTGGGAAAGAGCATGCCTAAATGCAGCAAGATGCTTGGATTATTTACAAGATGTATTGGGCTGGGTCCATTGGAAGGACTGCGCAATCATTCCTCATCTTCTTGGCTTCCCTCTCCCCCAAAAAACTATTTCTGACCCTGAGAAAGTTGGTTCCTGGGGACACGGGACGTGTATGGAGTAATAGATACATGGGTCAGGAGGATGCACTGAGGAGGAGGAAGGGAGTGTAATTGCTTTCTCCTTTAGTCAGTGGAATTCCAGTCATGGCGGCAGGAAGGAGTGATTTCGCCCTTTTCCCCTCTCCAACCTATTTCTTCATGGGGCCCTGTGGCCCTGGCATCAGACAAAGCAGCTGAAGGGAGGGGAAAACCAGGAAAATCAGTGATCAGCAGTGCCTTCTGTTGACAGATTGTGGGATCCAGCACTTGGCAGAGAAGAGTCCTTAAGTTTGCATAGTGGAAAATGTAGAACTTAACAGTGTACCAGTTTGCTTAATAGTACAGGGGGAAAATATCTTGTGGCATTAGATCAAGTTGTCACTGAGCTATGCAGGCTGACACAAGTGGAGAGCAGAAGCATTGTAGAAGATAGCTTACCAGGTAAATAGGGACTTGGGAGACAAACTAAATTACAGGATTCAGGAGAAGGTGGAATAGTATCAAGGCTGTTGCTGATCCAATAATCTCTCCCCTCCCCCATCCTGCCACTCAAACAGTCCAGCTGTTATCTGAGGGAAAGCTTTATTGGATACATCTCCACACCATTAAATATTCTATTTCTGATAGCCAAGAGAAAGCATACTGTAGGAATCCAAAACCCTGTGCCGAGGAGAGAGTCATCCTGGCCATAATTTAGGTTTCTGGAAAGAAACTGCGTAGTATCTTTCTTTCTCTTACCTATCTTTATTTTGAACCCAGTAACATATCACCATTTCCTTTCCAAGGAGGTTATTCCAAAAGCTGACAAGTGTAATAGTTAAACATTAATCATCAATATATCTAATTCTCAATGAGCCACCATCTGTGGGTATTTAGGTCCAGTTACAGGGCTCTTTTTGCAGCAGGAACTCCTTTGCATATTAGGCGACACACCCCGAATGTAGCCAATCCTCCAAAAGCCTACAGAGCTCTTCTTACAGGGGGCTACTGTAAGCTCTTGGAGGACTGGCTACATTAGGGGTGTGTTGCCTAATATGCAAAGGAGTTCCTGCTGCAAAAAGAGCCCTGGAATGGAACCATGGAGAGAGAAGACAGATCTTTCTACAAACCTGAGAAAAGTCCCCTAAAAATGATAAAAAGAAACACCTATTGCTTTAAGAAACAGATACCATTAGTGTCTGTTGCTAGGCAACCACAACAGGACTCGAACCTTAGCTTCTGTCATGAAAAGGCAGGGGGATGGTGAGGGGCTGTTTTAATTTTTGAGAAAGGACTGGTAGGGGCCAGGCCCAGCAGTGGCAACTTGGAGACTTGCTACCATGCACTTTCAGGTCTGCTGTTCAACATCAGTCACCACACTAAAGCCAGTGTGATGTAGTGGTGAAGGTTTCTCATTAGGATCTGTGAGAGCCAGGTTAAAATCCCCTCTCTTCTGTGGAAACTCACTGGATGGCCTTGGTTGAGTCACATACTCTCAGCCTAAACTATCTCACAGGGTTTCTGTGAGGGTAAAATGGAAGAGAAGAGAATGATACAAGCGGCTTTGGTCCCCCTTTTTGGTGAAGGCGGGGTATAAACGAAGTAAATATCAATATGGTAGGGGAGGAGTGAGGAGAGGAAGCAGTAGGAAAATGTGAGAATATGGGAGTTAACTAGGAGGAAGGAAAGAAGAAATAGTGTGGTGTGGATATAGGGGAAAGTGAGGTGCTCCCTGCAAGTCCTTGTATGTTTCCTACCATGCAACTGGGCCCGTGTGGCTACTGGCTACCACTCAACTGGGCTATAGTTTTCCCTTGTGGAGGCTGCCGGGGGGAGGGAAGGCTGAACACAGAGGAACAGAGAAAAGTGGGGTGGGTGAGAAAGAAGCGAGAAAAGGGGAAAGGGTATGTGGTCTTGCAGGGAAAAAGAAGAAGAAATAGTGGGGAAGGGGAAAATGGGACCTTGCAGGTCCCCTACCTGTTTTCTTCTAAATTCTAACCACAATGCATTTAATATGCCGTTTATAACCACTAGTTGTTGCACCTACAGCTGCCTTTACCTCGAATTGTGTGTCTCTTCTGCATTAATTCCTCTAAACATGTAGAGTACCCATGTTTTTTCTCTTGAGTTCTCTTTCCTAAAGAATCCAAGCTCTTCTGACCCTTGTAATATGACACATCAGTCTAATTTTTTAATATCTGTATAAGCCTGAATGCATCTTTTTTATGCACATGATGAAAACTGGATGCAGTTTTCTAGTTATGGCCTCCATAGTACATTAAGCAAGACTTTTCTGTCTAAGTATGTTCTGTCCATTGGCAAAAGATACTCCACCCAACTCATCTGTGTCTCTGAGGTGTCATTTGAAAAATCTGGGCTTAAGTATATATCTGTTTAGGTTTATTCTAGAGCTTCCTTAGAAGATCAGAATTTATTCTCTGGAGAGGGGTCAACACTTCTCTAGAGATGTGAAGGGCTGGAAAAGGTTTTGCCCCCATTTTTGTCTGAGGGCCTTTCTCAGTTTTCCTAATGGACAAATTGTAAAATTACGGGGAGCCTTGAAAGCTCCCTTTTGCAATTCAGTTAAATCCATTTACAAAAACTCGACCAAAACCCTTTCAAATGAATTATACCCTGCTTTTTTTCACAACACTTTGCTTTAAGTGTCCTATTGAAAAGCACTTTTACTCCTTATTTCCATTAAACAGTCAAGCATGGATTTAAAAATGTAGCTTGATGAACGCTAAGTAAAAGTCACCGCTGAGCATTCCTGACTGTCTGCAGTGAAACAGCATGGACACATAGTGTTGATCAAGGAGGATATCCTTAAACAAGTTAGTCCTCTTTGCTGGAGGTCTTGAAGAGTCCTTCGGTTTCCATTAGGCAGCGGATCCCCAGAATGTGCACTGCCTACTGTGCAGAAGCAGAACATTTCAAGAACTCTTGCTGTTTTTTTGTCCACCATTCTCTTTTCTTTTTTTGTTAGCAAGAGAATTTTATCTTTGCCACTGTGTTCCTTTGTGTCCCTGTTCCTTTTTGGAGATATCTGCAGTTAAAAGCCAGGGGGCCAATAGGAGATCTTTTGCTGACTGGTAGATTTGCCTATCTTGTAGTTTGCAGAAATCACTTAATAACCCAGAGCTGATCACCAAATGACTGCTTCAATTTATTTTATTATTTATTTTATTTTTGGGATTTATATCCCGCCCTACCCATACGGCCCTACCCATAAGGCTAGGGGGCAAACAGCTATACCTTCTGCCCTTGTTAAAAATTGAAACTTTTAACTACACTATAACACTTCTGACTTCAAGGAGTATTTAGCCATTTGATAGGGATCAAAAAATTGTCCAGCTTGCCCACCATATCTTTGAGTACCCATTGAGCAAGAATGGCATGCAAAGCTTTTTGGAAAAAATAGATTTGGTTCTTAAACTGATTTGCTTGTGTTAGAGAGCTTTTCTTCTTCTTATGTGCTGAGCCTAAAGCCATTCCTCAAGCTGTACCTAGAACAGGTTAAGCTTGTTTATCGATTTCTGGTTTATGGCGACACGCTGGTGGATGGACCTCCTGGGGGTGCAATCTGCACGCTAGCAGTTAGGAGGGGGGGCGGTTGTTCGTCATCACCCTGGAGCCTTTGCGAAAGGCTCCTAGCAATGGGACTTTTGGAGGGTGGCCTCTTCACCAGCACGTTGCTGGGGAATTGAGGCACTCTCCTGCCCCGACGGTCCTGCTGCTGTGCGTCCAAATGGAACTAGAGCTGCTGACTGGGACAAGCGTTGGAGATCGAGCGTTTTAAACTGACTTTAAGCGAGGCGTTATGACCAACAATGAACAGTGAGTCGAGTAAAAGTGAAATGCTGGTAATTTAAGAAGAAAGCCCTCCCCTGGGAACGGCGAGAAAAGCGAGCGAGGGAGGGGGCCCTCCCACACGCATAAACTAAAAAGCGATCTAACGGGGGGGGGAGCAGAAGTTAAAGCATTGAAATCTGTTTTAAGAAACTTTAAGAGCGCGGATAAGCGTATGGGCGAATTTCAGAGACTATAGCAAGTTTATACAAAAGTAAACAATCCATAAAAATGGCGTGGAAAAAAGAGAGAAAAACAAGCAAAAGTGAAACCACCAGGGAGCATGAGCCCATGGCCAGAAGAGACCACTGAGTTCTCTAAGCTTTTGGCAGACTCTTTGTGCCCTCTACTGGATCAGATAACTAACATCAATCAACAGCCGACAACTTTAAATCAGAACTTTGCAGCTCAGCAGCTCCAACTGTCTCAAACTACAAAACAGATGGAGCAAACAGCTGAGAAAGTAAAGAAAATGGATGCAAACCCTAAAAAAGTTAAGAAAAATACTGTAAATGATGCTCTTGGGGTTGTCTTTAAACAGTTAAAAATGGTTAAAAAGATAAATAATTTAGCTTAATCGACTATGTTCAATGTAATACTAGCAACTAAGATTAACACTTATATAAAACCCCCTATACTTGGGTTTTAGTTATTAGTGGCTTTCTTTCCTTTCTCCCTAGATGTAGATTACCCTTTCCCTTTTTTTCTTTGTAGTTTATAGAAAATGCAATAAAAAATCCCCTCCGGGGGGCATTAAAAAAAAAGCTTGTTTATCTAGAACAATAGCTCACTTGGATCCAGGAACTAACCAATAGATAAGCGGTGTAATGTAAATAACCTATCACTGGGAGTGTGTGTTTGTTGGGTGTGGTGTTTGCAGGCTTTATAAGCAGGGCTCAAGCCCTGCTAGCTTAT